GTCCCTTGGATTGCAAGGAGATCCAACCAGTCCATCCTAAAGGAGATCAGTCCTGGGTGTTCATTGGAAGGACTGATGCTGAAGCTGAAACTCCAATACTTTGGCCACCTCATGCAAAGAGCTGACTCATTGGAAAAGACCCTGATGCTGGGAGGGATTGGGGGGCAGGAGGAGAAGGGGATGACAGAGGATGAGATGGCTGGATGGCATCACCGACTCGATGGGTATGAGTTTGAGTAAACTCTGGGAGTTTGTGATGGACAGGGAGGCCTGGCGTGCTGCGATTCATGGGATCACAAAGAGTCGGATATGACTGAGCGACTGAACTGAATTGAACTGATTTACATCTAATATCTCTGGGCCACCACCGAGGCATTGCTGCAGACTGGGCATTGCTCCGTCCCCTTCCTGGGTTTAGGTTCGTGTCGAGTGGAGTCATAAGCAGCTGTGTAAGCTGGTGATGCAGATTATTCTGCTCCATTGTGGCCACCACTCACACAGTAACTCAAAGGGCACGTGGATGGGAAATGGAGGGAAGAGGTTTAAAAACCATCTCCAGAGATTGTTTGGCTTCTAGAAAATCCACACTGAATGAGGTTTAGAGCTGAGGATGAGAGATGGATTTTTAGCCCCCCATTTGAAAGGAGCCATACACATCTGAACACTGTGCTGATGGACTGCACTATCAGTCCACTTAGCAGTGAGAGAAGACTTGAAGCCAGCAGCCTACTGTAGCAGAGGAATCTGAATTCTACATCACACAAGAGATGAAATTGGCCATCAGCTGAGAGATAATGTTCCTTGACATGATAGTTCAAATTGATCATGAAAAATTGCTATTTGCTGAGACGGCTCAAACCTGAAACTTAGGACCTGACTGACAGATTTATTTTATATATATTTATTTTATAAATATATTTTATATATTTATTTTATATATATATTTTTTTCCTACTTGCTCTTCTGCTTTGTATAATTCTTGCTCAAATATTTGCAGGCCGAACAAACGGCTAAGGGGCCTGTGTTTTCCCACTTGTGTGATTTTTCTGTGGCTGTACAGACATGAGAAATTGAGAATTTTCTGCTTAATTTTGGGGCTTCATGTTTTAATTTAGGTAAGCTGAGGTCTGTAATGAGCATCTTTTGCCAGAAGTCATTAAAGATGATACTGCGTGTCTCAGGTTCCAAATTAGAAATCTGATCATTTTCCTCTGATTTGATTTCTAGCTATGGAAGCAAAGTGTGCAAAGTGATAGAATTCCCCATAGTGGCTGGTGAGTTACAGGTCAATTTCAATTATCTCCAGAATTTCTCACAGCTTGCCCTCTGAATTTCCTGAATGATGATGCTCTCTGGTCTTCACAGGCAAACTCATCACTACTTATTCCAGAGGGATCTGGGTACTGTTGGTGGCTACTAGGCCTTAATATATGGGGACATATTTGAGCTGGAATGTCAGGAACCCAAGCCCCCCTTTTCACTGGGGCTTTGAGTTGGAGCTTTCAGTGGGTTAGTAGAAGAATTTAGGTCCCGATAGCTCAGTTGGTAAAGAATGTGCCTGCAATGCAGGAGACCCCGGTTCAATTCCTGGGCTGGGAAGATCCCCTGAAGAAGGGATAGGCTACCCACTCCAGTATTCTTGGGCTTCCCTTGTGGCTCAGTTGGTAAAGAATCTGCCTGCAATTTGGGAGACCTGGATTTGATCCCTGAGTTGGGAAGATACCCTGGAGAAGGGAAAGGCTACCCACTCCGGTATTCTGGGCCTGGAGAATTCTATGGACTGTATAGTCCACCGGGTCGGAAAGAGATGGACACGACTGAGGGAAAGTTCACATCAGCATCAGATAGAGAGTTGGAGTAGATGATAAACCCAGCCACACCTACTACTGGCTTTGCTTGAGTCCTGCCTCTGAATCATGTGTAACCTCAGGTTGCAGGGCAGGATGGCAAACATGGAGTTTGTGAAACATTATCTACCAGCATGGTTGGGTGGAAAGCAGGGGAAGTGTGAACATAAAGGAGAAAAAGATGCTTATTAACAGGTGCTGTTAATAATGGCTCACTTTTGTTTTTGAAGGTAACATAGTAACTAAGTGCTTGCTATGCCAGGTACTAGCTGTGTGATTTGGGCAAATAATTAAAATTCTCCAGGTGAATCTTTTTGTTTTTAAAGCGGAGATAAGAATAGCACTTGCCTCACAGCAGTGAGGTGAGGGGTGATAGCTTCCTACTGTTTTGTGCTGGAAAA